AAATTGTTCACATAAGCTAATACACATCAGTTTCACGTCTCTTCATCTCTATGAAATTAAAGTTGGTCAAAAGTCAAAACTACTAATTAAATTTAAATTGGATCACTGATTATGGTTCATCAATCTTGAACCAAACATCGAAGGTAATAAGGAAGTGGTTTATTAATTTTGAACCAAATGTTGTGGTTCATGACAACATTTCAGATTTGGTTTATATGTTACAAACCAATTGCTCATCGGTTTGGGTCTTCAAGCATGACGTGGACTCTTTTACATTGATCCAAGGAGAAAGATTTTCTAATTTAATAGAGAGAGATCAGTCGAAGTTCCAAAGAATTCCATCTTTTTCTCATGCTTAAATTAGAATACACATCTTGCTAATTAATTCCTAAGTTTGAAAGTGATTTCACTCTATTATTCAAAAAAAAAAGAAGATTTTGCTACGATAAGTGAGCTTGAACCACTTTGAACTTTTGATAACATCAAGTCACCTATGAAGAGTAGATTTTTTAGACATCTCTACGTTTTCTCATGAGGTTTGAGACCTTGCAATAAAACTACATACCATAACAAAATTTCTATCAAATTATCTTAGATTCTAATTGTACCTTTTTATAAGTTTTAACTTCTCATTTTCCAAATTTGCAGGTTAATTACCAAATGAAGGGAAAACAAATAAGTAAAGGCATAAGCAAGGAGTTCTAAATCCGTGAAATATGGAAAAATTGCATTCTTTAGTTTTCTAAAGAAACATATAATAGGCTAAGGTTACTATTGGGTGCAGAGAGTTGTTTGAACCATGAAAATATTCGTCACGTGATCATACATGTATTGTTCTTCAAGTTTTGTGTTTTTGGGGAACTATGCTAAAATACAAGAACACTTAATTGAAATGTGAAGAATTAACTTACTATTGGTTATATATTCGTGTTCCGAAGAAAAAAACAAATGCTCAAAAATATAGTACAAAAGATAAAAATTTCCAAAAAAAAGAAAATGAATTAGAAAGGGAAATACAGTGACATGGCCAATAGAAGAGTGTAACGAATACCAAATCAAAGAATAAGGGAAGGAGAGGAAAACTAAAGTTGGTTGCATTGCTTTCTTAAACAATTTCTAATAGTATAGATCTATCTACTCTTCATCGAATAATAGTTTCTTTTCTATTATTTAACATGAAGAAGACTAAACCAAATTTTCTCTAATTTTTTTTTCAATCATTTATTTTCTTAATGTAGAGAAAGATTTGTTAATCTTTTATTTATTGTTGTAAAACATTTTTTTTGTAGCAGGGACTGTTTTCTCAAAAATATATACTATATATAGTTTCTATATTTGGAGATGATCTCAACTAACTTATTTTCATTTAATTTCAACTTTATTTGAAATTACACTATTTTTTACTAAATTAATAG